TATTACCTTTTATCTAGAAATTACACGTTGTCAAATCAACCCTCTGGTATTGTTCATTTGGGACTCGGAGTCACACTTGTGTTGTTCGCGGTCAAAAGTGACCGGACACCTGAATTTATTTATTTTTTTTCAGTGAAATCAATGTACACTGTAAAATCCAATAGTTTACCTTACTTAGATTTAATTGTTATAAATAGTAACAGTAATAAATAGGTTGCTTTTAGAAAGTGATCTATCTTCTAATTAAATATATAATGTATTATTTATTTGTGCTTGTGATAGTCAATTAACTTTTGTAGAATTTATTTTTCATAAATACTTTACTTTTATAAATGGGTTTATATAATCCTTAAATCCTGTGGGGTAATATGCTAAAGTCACGCACAGACTTAAACATTCAGCACGTGAATCACAACAATGGTAACAATTCAATTTCATTTATTTGTATTAATTGTAACAATAACCATTTTATTTGCTCTTTTTGTTGTGCTACTACTGACACAATACAGCGAATAAAATTGGAAAATAAAAACAACAACTGTAAAACAAAGCAACTGCATAATTTATTCATGCCGCAATGCACTATGGGACTCAGTGAGTAGCTATACTGTAGCTGTGTCCCAATTCAAAGACCGCATCCTTCGGAGGACGGGTCCTTCGAAGGATGAGGCCGACACGGCCTTCGCAGGAAGCTCCGAGTCTAGCCTTCGCAGGATTTCCTGATTGCGCCAGCAGGTGTTCCCGATTAATGCTCCTGTCGCATAGCAACGGTGCGAGAAGAGAGCTGCCATATATGTTATTTGTTAATGAAAACGAAAATAACTGGAGCCTGAATTATTAGTTTTTGACTTTTAATTACCGAATTACACTTTAATAACTAAGCATCTGTCAGTACAACATACTATTCCTATTTCACTTTAGGCTACTTAGTTTTTTCAAGGCAAGCTGTGTGCATGCTTTTTTTAAGCCCAACTAATTAGATTTTACAGTGTAATATATTTTTGTTCAATAATATTTTTTTATTTTGCATTTTGAGAGAATTTCATGGTACTATTTAATATTTATGCAATAATTATTCCCATTGAAACTAATACAAAAACAATGTTCTAATATTTTTCTACTACTTTTCAATTATGGCAGTATTTCATGTTAAAATAGAGACAATGACTTTAAAATCCAATTTTTGAAGGCAGATTAGTTCCATTTGGTGGGAGTAAAAAAAAGAATATAATACATTTTTCATTGAAAATAATACAAACATTATTTTTCTAATATTTTTCTATTACTTTTCAGTTATGGCTGTATTTCATGTTAAAATAGAGACAATGCCTTTAAAATCCAATTTTTGAAGGCAGATTAGTGCCATCTGGTGGGAGTAAAAAAGAAAAACATCTGCAATTTCATGGTTTAGCCACTAGATTTCTATATACATAATTTATAAAATGCTTATAAATTCTCTAATTGTTTTTAAACATAAATACTTTTTTTGTTGGGGATTTGGATTTATATTTAGACATTCTCAAAGACAACATTTTGTAAAGGTTTAGATTTTTTTTGTTTGAAATGTTGGTTTGAAATTTCAGTTTTTGCATTAATTTGACTACAGTCAAACCTGAACACAAAGACATTTTATTACACATAACATCAAAGTTCAACAAAAAATGTAATAAAAATTAACAGGAATGCTTTATCAGAGGTTAATCAATCTGATTTCAACCTCTTCTTTGAGACTTCTGGCTCAATTTTGCCATATTAAGCCGCCTTTCAGCCGCCTTTCCACTATCTCCGACAAACGACAAGCGACAGACCGGAAGTCATTCATTTCCAATGGAGAGTAGTGCGGGAACTGTGTGGATTTCCGATCAATACAGTTACAAATTTTCACTAATTTTATTTTACTAATACACTTATTTTCATCAATAATCTAAATATCATCTAAATATATGTCCAGCCCCTGATTTTATTCACAACCCTCAGCATGGCCCATACATTAGTTTTTGACACCCCTGTTATAGAGTGTCACCCCTTCCTTGCTGTGCACTTTTTTCTGCATCGTGATTGATTTGTAGATTGTACACAAAAAAATCTCTGTATTTTTGCGTATTTCCCATTCATTTCTAATGGCGGTCATTTTTGACCGCGAACAACACAAGTGTGACTATTTATTTTACGACCATTTAGCTTTTTCGATTCAAGTCCACGATTTTTTTTTGGTCACATAGTCACTGAGTTTCTTACCATTCCGATGAAGTAACAGTTAGCGATTTAAAAAAAATCGCGATATTTGTTTTTCCGGTCTAAAATGACCGAATGGCACCAGAGGGTTAAGGACGAAAACCAACGGCATTTCCTGGTCTTATCTTACAGACATCTACATGTGAATAAATGACTTGTTACAGTTCTTTTTTGCATATTCACTTTTATCATATTGAATTCATCATAAAAAAAACTCAAGATCGATCATCTAGACACGTGTTCCTTCGATAGCTCAGTTGGTAGAGCGGAAGACTGTAGAGGAAGCACTGTAATCCTTAGGTCGCTGGTTCGAATCCGGCTCGAAGGAAACTCTTTTTTTGTTGTTTTAAATTGACACTCAGTGGTGTTCACAACATGAAATGTTGATTCAACTGTAAACAAAAAGTTTGAAAGCAGACCAAATGGCTCTGTGCACATCACATTGCATAAAGATTTTGTGAAACAAGGAAGATACTACCTAAATTCATGTAGAGTACTTTCACAGGGCAAATAAAACGTGTTATTTGAAACCAGTTAAATATATGGAAATATCTGAATTTATATATGTTGAAAACCTGTAAGATATGCACTCAAACATTTTATGATTTATGTATTTGATTTCCATATAACATTTCACATGACTCACTTTTAACATAGACAAATTAATAAACTTGATGTGTTGCATATTTGTCATACATGGAACAGGTAAGATTTCAGTGATAGTACTGATAAATGTTTTAAATACTCAATAGACAGGTTTACATATTTATAATCAATAAATCCCATTTATTTCAATCTCAAACATTTTAACTAATTGAAGTTAATTGAATATTCCACAGCTATATTTTAACCATACTGAATAATTGTAATTGCTTTCAGAATGAACAACTGAATGAATGACTGACAAATATCCATCACATTAATTACGTTTATTAGTTTATCTTGAAAATGTTTAATCCAAGTGGATGAAAAGTTTATATGCAATTCAAATTCATAAATATTAAATTTAGGCTTGGATATTTTTTGGGTGTACATTTATTATTTAAAAGAGAATCATTCATCAGTTTTATCACATTAACACCTTTAATTCCACATGAAGCATAAGAATAATATAATATCTGTTATTTACAGACAGCATGGCTAAACAAAGCTTAAGAAGTTGAGTATTTTTAGTTTTCTCAGTCCTGACATAAACATTATATTGTAAAAGACAACAATATATTCCAAAAGAATTTTAAAATTAATATCTATCATGACTCTTTTGCTTTTAGGTGTATGTTCTGTGTCCATCACCGATCAGCTGGGTCTTCTCACTAGCATTGGTTGGCTGCAGCACAATTGGAGTGTCGCCATCTGGAAAACCACAAGCACAGGTAAAAGAGGTCACATATGATCAATATGGAATATACTAGAGGTTACACCGTCTAATGCCATGCCATTTCACACTCCTAATTGAACTTCCTGCTGAAATGAAAAGTGTTTTGTACGCTCCAAGGACGTCCCAGCAATCTGCCGTTAGCCTGCCCCTGCTGGCTGCACTTTTCTGACCTCACTGAGCTGGCTCAGTATCACTGGTTTGAAGGGCAGCCCACTGTCCACTGGCTTACCTAATGCTCAGAGAGTTTATTTAGCGGTTTTCTGATTCTAAGACCACAGGGGTGGATTTTTAGACACTACTTCAGCAGCAAATTAAGTTTATAAAACATTATTCTTTATTTTTTGCCCTTTGTGCTACACTAATATGAATGCTATGAAATAGACAAAAATATGTTCTCAGGTAGACAAAAAAAAATCACCTAAATTATCTGCAAAAATATTATTTAATAATACAATTATTTTTACATGATAGACTAATATATAATATTATTGTATGAGTAGGTAACACTAAAAGAGTAGTTTTTAACTACTGGCTGTATACTGACTACTTCAGCATGATATGACTTCTATGATACATTGTTCTATTTTATTTTGTGTGTGTGTGCTACACTAATATAAATGCTATGAAGCAGACAATAAAG